CTCCTAACCTTCCTACCACACCTAATGGGTCTGCTATGGATTGGGGGGTCCTCCTAACCTTCCTACCACACCTAATGGGTTTGCTATGGATTGGGGGCCCTCCTAACCTTCCTACCACACCTAATGGGTCTGCTATAAATTGGTGGGGTCCTCCTAACCTTCCTACCACACCTAATGGATTGGCTATGGATTGAGGGGGCACTCCTAGAATTCCAACCACACATAATGGGTCTGCTATGGATTGAATCTGGGGGGGGGGTCTTCCTAATCTTCCTGCCACACCTAATGGGTCTGCAATGGATTGGGGGGCCCTCCTAACCTTTTTTTTTTTAATAAAATACATACATTGTACAGATGATACATAGTCACGGGTAGTTTAGCCCTCCCCCCGGCATGATATTAAAAAGGGATTTATCTTTTTTTTAATGTACTGCTCCTATCAAAATGTTACTTTTTGGAAGCCAATGTCCCTGATGTGGGGACCCCCGCACCCCTTTCATGGCCAATAACTGGCATATTCACCTTCACAATTGGCCCTTGTGAATGGACAAGTTGGGGTCCCATAGACTTGCATTGAGTTGGAGATTGGTGGTGGATCGTTCATTAGGGTGGAACGTTCCATGGAGAAGTGAACACGGGGGAGGTCAGCCCATCACTACGGGGGAGGTCAGCCCATCACTACGGGGGAGGTCAGCCCATCACTACGGGTGAGACATTGCTGTCTACACACCCAGGTTTGGTGGGTCTACTATAGTGTCCGGCTGGATGTTCCTTGTGTTTGGTGAGGGCCAACCACGCCCCACAATGCACTGTGCCCTGACCCGATTGTGATTGGCCGAAGCATCGCACCTGACCTGTGCCCATGGTGAAGGCTTCTATGCCAGGTATTGGCCATAAAAGGGGTATGGGGCCCCGGGTGGCCCTCAGAGACAGGGATCAGGGAAATGTTGTCACAAAGTACCGTTCTTAAAGGGGCAGTCAGTCTTCATCACTAAAAGTAAAAAAAATGAAATATTCCTTTAAAACTCATTCCTGGGGGGGATCGGAGGGGGGTCCCCTAAACTGCCTGAAAAGTCCCCATCTGTACAATGTATGGAGGCCACTGCAGCAGGACCCCTCCCCCCCAATCCATACCACTCCCCCCAAATCCATACCATACCCATAGATCTGATAGGAAGGTTAGGAGGGGCCCCACAGTGGCTTACCAGGCCAAGTGAACCAACATTAGGATGGTGTCACCAAACCAATGGAGACAAGGGCCTCTTCCATACAACCCTGGCCCGTTGTTTGTGAAGGACATACTACTCCACTGACACCAATGTATGGGACATACTTCTCCACTGACACCAATGTATGGGACATACTACTCCACTGACACCAATGTAAAGGGACATACTACTCCACTGACACCAATGTAAGAGATATACTACTTCACTGACACCAATGTAAGAGATATACTACTTCACTGACACCAATGTAAGGACATACTACTCCACTGACACAATGTAAGGACATACTACTCCACTGACACCAATGTAAGAGAGATACTACTCCACTGACACCAATGTAAGAACATACTACTCCATTGACACCAATGTAAGTGAGGTACTACTCCACTGACACCAATGTAAGAACATACTACTCCACTGACTCCAACGTAAGAGAGATACTACTCCACTGATACCAATGTAAGAGAGAAACTCCACTGACACCAATGCCACTGACACCAAAGTGGGAGGGTACTACTCCACTGACACCAATGTAAGGGACATACTACTCCACTGACACCAATGTAAGAGACATACTACTCCACTGACACCAATGTAAGAGACATGCTACTCCACTGACACCAATGTAAGGGATATACTACTCCACTGACACCAAAGTAAGAGACATACTCCACTACTCCACTGACACCAATGTAAGAGACATATTACTCCCACTGACACCAATGTAAGAGACATGCTACTCCACTGACACCAATGTAATGAGACATACTACTCCACTGACACCAATGTAAGGACATACTACTCCACTGACACCAATGTAAGAGACATACTACTCCACTGACACCAATGTATGTAAAAAGGCAATATGTTTGCTGTGCTCCACGGGTGTCAGTGAACTCCCCTCCTATCAGCTGGTGAATGTTCTGCACGGCTCTGGATCCGGGAACTTTGTGCAGCTGTTGTTCTGTCTGTCCTCCTCTCTGCCATGGACAGACTGCTAACCCCCCTCCTACATTTACCACCCCCCTCCCCCTCCACCTGACACCACATTTCATCCCAGCCCGAGAAAACACAGAGACCCCGTTCTCCCAGGCTAGGGACTGGAGAGATCAGATTCCAGGACTGGGCAGAGGAAGTCATATAATCACAGCTCTGATTACTGACACCACTCATGTCATGTAATGGCATTCTACTCCACTGACACCAATGTAAGGACATACTACTCCACTGACACAATGTAAGGGACATGCTACTCCACTGACACCAATGTAAGGGGACACATACCACTCCACTGACACCAATGTAAGGACATACTACTCCACTGACACCAATGTAAGGGACATACTACTCCACTGACACCAATGTAAGAGACACACTATTCCATGTAAGGACACCAATGTAAGGACATACTATACCACTGACACCAATGTAAGGGACATACTACTCCACTGACACCAATGTAAGGGACATACTACTCCACTGACACCAATGTAAGAGACATACTACTCCACTGACACCAATGTAAGAGACATACTACTCCACTGACGACCAATGTAAGGACATACTACTCCACTGACACCAATGTAAGGACATACTACTCCACTGACACCAATGTAAGAGAGATACTACTCCACTGACACCAATGTAATAACATACTACTCCACTGACACCAATGTAAGAACATACTACTCCACTGACTCAAAAGTAAGAGAGATACTACTCCACTGATACCAATGTAAGAGAGAAACTCCACTGACACCAATGTATGGGAGGTACTACTCCACTGAAACCAATGCAAATGGAAAGGGACATACTACTCCACTGACACCAATGTATCTTGTAAGGACATACTACTCCACTGACACCAATGTAAAGGACATACTACTCCACTGACACCAATGCAAGGGATATACTACCTCCACTGACACCAATGTAAGAGACATATTACTCCACTGACAACCAATGTAAGGGACATACTACTCCACTGAAACCAATGTAAGGGACATACTAATCTACTGACTCCAATGTAAGAAGACATGCTACTCCACTGACCACCAATGTAAGAGACATACTACTCCACTGACACCAATGTAAGAGTCATGCTACTCCACTGACACCAATGTAAGAGACATACTACTCCACTGACACCAATGTAAGAGACATACTACTCCATGACACCAATGTAAGAGACATGCTACTCCACTGACACCAATGTAAGAGACATACTACTCCACTGTTGGGACACCAATGTAAGAGACATGCTACTCCACTGACACCAATGTAAGAGACATACTATTCCACTGACACCAATGTAAGAGACATTACTACTCCCACTGACACCAATGTAAGGACATACTACTCCACTGACACCAATGTATGTAAAAAAGCATTATGTATTTGCTGTGCTCTTCGGTGTCAGTGAAGTCCCCTCCTATCAGCTGGTGAATGTTCTGCACGGCTCTGGATCCGGGAAACTTTGTGCAGCTGTTGTTTCTGTCTGTCCTCCTCTCTGCCATGGACAGCTGCTACCCCCCTCCTACATTTACCACCCCCCTCCCCCTCCACCTGACACCACATTTCATCCCAGCCCGAGAAAACACAGAGACCCCGTTCTCCAGGCTGGGACTGGGGAGAGATCAGATTCCGGGACTGGCAGAGGGAAAGTTCATGGGTGTATAATCACAGCTCTGATTACTGACACCACTAATGTCATGTAATGGCATTCTACTCCACTGACAACCAATGTAAGGGACATGCTACTCCACTGACACCAATGTAAGGGACCATTACCACTCCACTGACACCAATGTTTAAGGACATACTACTCCACTGACAACCAATGTAAGGGACATACTACTCCACTGACACCAATGTAAGGACATACTACCCACTGACACCAATGTAAGGGACATACACTCCACTGACACCAATGTAAGGACATACTACTCCCACTGACACCAATGTAAGGACATACTACTCCACTGAAAACACCAATGTAAGAGACATAAAACTATTCCACTGACACCAATGTAAGGGACATACTACACCACTGACACCAATGTAAGGGACATACTACTCCACTGACACCAATGTAAGGGACATACTACTCCACCACTGACACCAATGTATGGACATACTACTCCACTGACACCAATGTAAGAGATCATACTACTCACTGACACCAATGTAAGGGACATACTACTCCACTGACACCAATGTAAGGACATACTACCCCACTGACACCAATGTAAGGGACATACTACTCCACTGACACCAATGTAAGAGACATACTACTCCACTGACACCAATGTAAGAGATATACTACTCCACTGACACCAATGTAAGAGGACATACTACTCCACTGACACCAATGTAAGGGACATACTACTCCACTGACACCAATGTAAGAGATATACTACTCCACTGACACCAATGTAAGAGATATACTACTTCACTGACACCAATGTGTAGAGGACATACTACTCCACTGACACCAATGTAAAGGACACATACTACTCCACTGACACCAATGTAAGGACAATACTACTAACTGACCCCAATGTAAGGGACATATTACTCCACTGACGCCAATGAAACATGCACACATCACCCCCATACTTAAAAAGCCCTCCCTGTGAATCCCCAATGACCCGAACAACTCTCACTGACCCATCTCCCTGCTACCATTCCACATCCAAACTCCTCGAGCGCCTCGTCTACACCCGCCTAAGGCCAAAATCTGCACCTTCCGTTACCCAGAAACCACTAAAACAGATCATCCCCTCCCTCATCATATCACGACTCGACTACTGCAACTCCTCCCTCACTGGCCTGCCTCGTCGCTGGCTCATCCCCGCTTCCCAGTCCATCCTGAATACGGCTGCCAGACTCATTCACCGTTTCCAACCGCTCCATCTCCGCCACCCCCTCTGAAACCCAATCCCTCCCACTGCACCCTCCACCCCCTCTCCCAATCCCTCCACTGGCCTCCACTCATGTCCTCCGCCCCTCTCTGCCATGCTTCAGTCCATCCCTACAGTTCCCCACCCCTCACCCCCCCCCCACCCCACCCAACTACCTCCCTTCCGCTCCTCCCCCCCTCTTCACCTCCCTCCCCCCTCCCACCCCCCCCACCCCCTGCCAACCCACCACTGCCCCACCCCCCTCTGCCCCCTCCACTGGCCTTTCCACTCAGTGTCCCTCACCACGCCCCCTCTGCCCAAATCCCTCACTGGCCTCCGCCCGTGTCCCTCCACCCCTCTCTGCCAATCCCTCCACTGACCTCCAGTCAGTGTCCTCCACCCTCTCTGCCATTCCCTCTACTGACCTCCACTCATTGTCTCCACCCCCCCTCTGCCAATCCCTCCACTGGCCTCCACTCAGTGTCCTCCACCCCCCTCTTCCAATCCCTCCACTGGCCTCCACTCAGTGTCCTTCACCCCTCTCTGCCAATCCCTCCACTGGCCCCACTCAGTGTCCTCCACCCCCCTCTGCCAATCCCTCCACTGGCCTCCATTCAGTGTCCTCCGACCCTCTCTGCCAATCCCTCCACTGGCCTCCACTCAGTGTCCTCCATCCCTCTCTACCAATCCCTCCACTGGCCTCCACTCAGTGTCCTCCATCCCCTCTCTACCAATCCCTCCACTGGCCTCCACTCAGTGTCCTCCTCCCCTCTGCCAATCCCTCCACTGGCCTCCACTCAGTGTCCTCCACACCCCCTCTGCCAATCCCTCCACTGGCTTCCGATTGCACAACGGATCAGATGCAAAATCCTAACACTGATGTACAAAGTCCGTCCACCATACTGCCCCGAACTACATCACTGACCTAATATCCAAGTACCACCCAACACACACACTCCGCTCCTCACAAGACCTCCTTCTCTCTAGTTCCTCTGGTCTCCTCCTCTCTCTAGTTTCCCTGGTCTCCTCCTTCTCTCTAGTTCCCTGGTCTCCTCCTTCTCTCTAGTTCTCTGGTCTCCTCCTCCCCTCTAGTTCCCTGGTTTCCTCCTTCTCTCTAGTTCCCTGGTCTCCTTCTCCCCCTCTAGTTCCCCTGGTCTCCTCCTCCCCTCTAGTTCCCTGGTACCTCCCTCATTCTCTCTAGTTCCCTGGTCTCTTCCTTCTCTCTAGTTCCCTGGTCTCCTCCTTCTCTCTAGTTCCCTGGTCTCCTCCTTCTCTCTAGTTCCCTGGTCTCCTCCTTCTCTCTATTTCCTGGTCTCCTCCTTCTCTCTAGTTCCCTGGTCTCCTCCTCCCCTCTAGTTCCCTGGTCTCCTCCTTCTCTCTAGTTCCCTGGTCTCCTCCTTCTCTCTAGTTCCCTGGTCTCCTCCTTCTCTCTAGTTCCCTGGTCTCCTCCTTCTCTCTAGTTCCCTGGTCTCCTCCTTCTCTCTATTTCCCTGGTCTCCTCCTTCTCTCTAGTTCCCTGGTCTCCTCCTCCCCTCTAGTTCCCTGGTCTCCTCCTTCTCTCTAGTTCCCTGGTCTCCTCCTTCTCTCTAGTTCCCTGGTCTCCTCCTTCTCTCTAGTTCCCTGGTCTCCTCCTTCTCTCTAGTTCCCTGGTCTCCTCCTCCCCCTCTAGTTCCCTGGTCTCCTCCTTCTCTCTAGTTCCCTGGTCTCCTCCTTCTCTCTAGTTCCCTGGTCTCCTCCTTCTCTCTAGTTCCCTGTCTCCTCCCTTCTCTCTAGTTCCCTGGTCTCCTCCTTTCTCTCTAGTTCCCTGGTCTCCTCCTTCTCTCTAGTTCCCTGGTCTCCTCCTTCTCTCTAGTTCCCTGGTCTCCTCCTTCTCTCTAGTTCCCTGGTCTCCTCCTCCTCTAGTTCCCTGGTCTCCTCCTCCCCTCTAGTTCCCTGGTCTCCTTCTCTCTAGTTCCCTGTCTCCCTCCTCCCCTCTAGTTCCCTGGTCTCCTCCCTCCCATGCCCTCCTCCAGGACTTCCCCAGGGTGTCCCATCCTCTGGATATAGAAATCTAGGGCGTGGCTGTATTTCGAGGGCAGTAAGTGCTGTGACCATGTCCACCTTCCACGCTGTCTGTGTTGGACACCATTTCCACGTAAAGCTGGCATTGTTCTACCCCAAAGCTGCGCTGTGTTGGAACACAAATATTGCTGCTGTGAAGTGAAGGAGCAGAAAGATCTGTGAAAGCCGACATTTAAAGGGGACAATGGAGATGGGACCTCTGCATGTTCCTGCAAGGAAAGAGTCCGTCACATTGGTGACCATTGTCCTTCACAGACACCTTGGCTGATCACCGCTGATAGGAGCCCCACAAGGAGATCTACTGAAGGAAGCGGCCCATAAGAGGTAAGGATCCAGGGTGTTGGCCCCTAGGGGTCACTGGGGGGAGGGGGCAATCTAGCCCCAATAGGAGAAGATTTTGGCCCAATCATTGTTGCACAGAGTGGACAGTTGTTTGCACTGTTTTGGCTCTATAGCACTTTATGTATAGAAAGGTTTATAAATACCTCATTATTATGTATACAGTAGTGTGTGAGCACGGGAGGCATGTTTACACACGTGTTCTATGTATTTACAGTGGTGAACACGCGTGTCCATTTATTTATACAGTAGGTGTGTGAGCACGGGAGTTCATGTTTACACACGTGTTCTATGTATTTACAGTGTGAACACGCGTGTCCATTATTTATACAGTAGGTGTGTGAGCACGGGATTTCATGTTTACACACGTGTTCTATGTATTTACAGTTACGGGTCCAGTGTGACAGTAGGTGTGTGAGCACGGGCGTGTCCATTATTTATACAGTAGGTGTGTGAGCACGGGAGTTCATGTTTACACATACCGTGTTCTATGTATTTACAGTGTGAACACGCGTGTCCATTATTTATACAGTAGGTGTGTGAGCACGGGAGTTCATGTTTACACACGTGTTCTATGTATTTACAGTGTGAACACGCGTGTCCATTATTTATACAGTAGGTGTTTGAGCACGGGAGTTCATGTTTACACACGTGTTCTATGTATTTACAGTGTGAACACGCGTGTCCATTATTTATACAGTAGGGGGGGTGTGAGCACGGGGGATGGCATGTGAACTATGTTTACACACGTGTGTTCTATGTATTTACAGTGTGAACACGCGTGTCCATTATTTATACAGTAGGTGTGTGAGCACGGGAGTTCATGTTTACACACGTGTTCTATGTATTTACAGTGTGCACCGCGTGTCAACATCATGGAACACGGATATTTAGTAGCAGTATGACACGACTTATATATTGTTACACTGTTGCTATGAAGACGTTTATTGTATGAATTGTGATTGGTTCAGGTTGTATTCTATGAATTGTCACATATTTGTATTTAGTATTTATTATGAGTTACACTATTTATTGGTGTCATTTACACTGTTTTTAGGTGTCAGTTGGTGAGTGTCGGCAGCTTAAGGCGAGGTTCTACTTCCATTTATAGCGCAGGGAGGACCTTTGATTATTTGTTAACCCATCCTCTGGAACTCCCTACCCCAACCCATCAGATTATCACCTACTCTCCTCTCCTTTAGGCGCCCCCTGAAAACCCATCTCTTCAGGGAAGCCAACCCCCCCCTGCTAACTGCCGACCTCTCTCCACTCCTTCCTACCACCCCATCCCCCACAGCTATCTCCTCCTGTACCACCATCCCCCCCCTCCTAGATTGTAAGCTCCCAGGATCAGGGCCCTCGATCCCCTCATGTATCACATTGTATTGGTATTGTTCTGTCACATGTTCTGTCCCCTCTGTAATGTACAGCGCTGAGCCAAACTATCGGGGCTTTATAAATCCTGTATAATAATAATAATAATGGATGTAAAAGGCAATGTGTTTGCTGTGCTCCTCGGTGTCAGTGATCTCCCCTCCTATCAGCTGGTGAATGTTCTGCACGGCTCTGGATCCGGGAACTTTGTGCAGCTGTTGTTCTGTCTGTCCTCCTCTCTGCCATGGACAGCTGCTACCCCCCCCCTCCTACATTTACCACCCCCTCCCCCTCCCCCTCCCCCTCCTCCTGACACCACATTTCATCCCAGTCCAAGAAACAATTGAGTACTGTCCGTGATACTTTTTTTATTTGCACTAACATACAATTTTGAGGACAAGCTTTCGGGGTATGTCCCCTTCTTCAAGGTCTAAGCAGTACTATTACAAGCAGAATGTTTAGAAGGGATTGAGAGGGAAAAAAAAAAAAAAAAAAAGGGCTACAGATAAGATACATCAAAAGCGAGGGGGGGGGGGGGGGGATACAACACTCACACAGGGGGGGAGGGGGGGTACTACACTCACACAGAGGGGGTCAAGCTTTCAGCTAATAGATGGTCATAAAGCTGTGGATAATGGTTGAGGAATCCCATGTCCAAGTTAAGACCGTTATCTTTAGTGTCAAATAGAATTATCATTCTTAGTTCAAATGTTTTTCTTTCCTGGATGGATTTAAATTTTCCTTTCAGAACTAAAACATTGAGGTCTTCCATATTGTGGTCCGGTTGTGAGGAATGGTGTCCTACAGGTGTGCAGAGGTCATCTTCTTTATGTTCCTTGATTTATTGTCTGTGCAGATTCATCCTTGTTTGCACCTTCTGTCCTGTTTCACCAACATAAGATCCTTTGCTGCATTTTCTGCACTGGATAAGGTACACAACATGACTGGAGGTGCAGCTGTATGATCCGGAAGATACTGAAGATCCCTTTTGAGTGTCGGACACTTTTTGATGGATTGATTTGGTTGCACAGTTTGCAGCGTTTTTTATTGCAGGGTTTGCTTCCATTATTTGTGACATCATCATCAGAAGGAAGTTTCCTACTGATTAGTTTTTATTTCTGAGGTTGGGGGGTTGTCTGAAGGCCAGTATTGGGGGGTTGTCTGAAGGCCAGTATTGGGGGGTTGTCTGAAGGCCAGTATTGGGGGGTTGTCTGAAGGCCAGTATTGGGGGGTTGTCTGAAGGCCAGTATTGGGGGGTTGTCTGAAGGCCAGTATTGGGGGGTTGTCTGAATGCCAGTATTGGGGGGTTGTCTGAAGGCCAGTATTGAAGGCCAGTATTGGGGGGTTGTCTGAAGGCCAGTATTGGGGGTTGTCTGAAGGCCAGTATTGGGGGGTTGTCTGAAGGCCAGTATTGGGGGTTGTCTGAAGGCCAGTATTGGGGGTTGTCTGAAGGCCAGTATTGGGGGGTTGTCTGAAGGCCAGTATT